CCACATCATATTACCCCTGTGCTTCACAAAATATCTATCCATTAAATGTAAGGTAAATTTGGGGAGTCACTTGGAGTGGGAGTCATCTTCCTGGGTTTCACGAGAATGGTAATGTTTAAGTTGAGCTGTGAACAGAAGTAGGGATTCTAAGAGGGACACGTGGGCAGGGAGTGCATTCTAGACATGCATAAGACATAGCTTCAAAACTCAGTCTAAACGCTGTCCAAAAACATCTTTGCACAGCTCTGCATCGCTTAAGTCCAATTCACTTGCAAGTCAAGTCACCCCCTCCCCCCCAGCTCCTGCTGATGTAATTGGTCATCTTCAAGAATGAAGGATGAACAACAACAAATAAACATAGAATCTCCAGTCTGTTTGCCTTTAGACTGTCAGTTCTCCATACCTGGAATGTTCTTGCTTATAACTTCCTCATCCTCACTTCCTTTAATACTAAGATAAAATCCACCTTCTGTAGGAGGCTGAGCTGACTGAACTATCTAGGGGGTTTGGATTCTCTTCATGTTTTTCTTGAGTCTTGTATTGGAAAGTCAAATTTTCTATTCAGCTCTGGTCTTTTCATCAAGAATGCTTGAAAGTCCTCTATTTCACTGAATGTCCATTTTTTCCCCTGAAGGATTTTGCTCAGTTTTACTAGATAGGTGACTCTTGGTTGTAATCCTATCTCCTTTGCCCTCCAGAATATTGTATTCCAAGCCCTGTGGTCCTTTAATGTAGAAGCTGCTAAATTTTGTGTTATCCTGATTGTGTTTCCACAATACTTGAATTGTTTCTTTCTGGCTGCTTGCAATATTTTCTTTTGACCTGGGAACTCTGGAATTTGGCTACAATATTCCTAGGAATTTTCCTTTGGGGATCTCTTTCAGGAGGGGTTTGGTGGATTCTTTCCATTTCTATTTTGCCCTCTGGTTCTAAAATATCAGGGCAGTTTTCCTTGATAATTTCTTGAAAGGTGATATCTAGACTCTTTTTTTGATCATGGCTTTCAGATAGTCCAATAATTTTTAAATTCTGTCTCCTGGATCTATTTTCCAGGTCAGTTGTTTTTCCAATGAGATATTTTACATTGTTTTCTATTTTTTCATTCTTTTGAATTTGTTTTACAGTGTCTTGATTTCTCATAAAGTCACTAGCACTAATTGCTCCATTCTAATTTTTAAGGAAGTATTTTCTTCAGTGAGCTTTTGGACTTCGTTTTCCATTTGGCCAATTTTGTTTTTTAAGGCATTCTTCTCCTCATTGACGTTTTGGACCTGTTTTACCATTTGGGTTAGGCTATTTTTTTAAGATGTTGTTTTCTTCAGTGGTTTTTTTTTTTTTTTTAGGTCTCCTTTAGCAAGCTGTTGACAAGTTTTTCATGATTTTCTTGCATCACTCTCAATTTTTCCTTTACTTCTGTTACTTGCTTCTCAAAATCCTTTTTGAGCTCTTCCATGGCCTGGGACCAATTCATATTTTTCTTGGAGGCTTTGGATGTAGGAACTTTGACTTTGTTGTCTTCTTCTGATTGTATGTTTTGATCTTCTTTGTCACCAAAGTAATATTCTATGGTCTGACTCTTTTTGCATTGCTTGCTCATGATCCCAGCCAATTACTTGAATTGTAAACTCTTTGTTAAGGTAGGGGTCTGCTTCCAGTGTGGAGAATGTACTGTCTCAAGCTTTGGGGGTTTTGTGCAGCTATTCTCAGAGATACTTCTAGGGACCTGTAAATTTTTAGTTCTTCCCAGGTGCTATGATCAAGGGCGAGGTGTTTACTCCTTTCCTGGCTTGTGCTCTGGTCTGTGAGTGATCACAAGCACTGTTTTCTGCCTTGGAGCTGTGAGGAGGATTCCCTCTCCACCACCACCACAAGCTCCGCCATGCCAGTGCTCCTCCTTGCCCCAGGACTACCACCCAGAATTGTGATCCAGATCCAAGCACGAGCAAAGCAAGAGAATCCTACCTTAGCACCAGCAAAGAGATCCCTGCAATCCCCTCTGATCAACCACTCAATTTCCCCTCAGCCTGTGGACTGGAAGCTCCAGAGGCAGCTGCTTCCCCGGGGCCATGCGTGGGGACTGGGACTGGTACCTACTTCTCTCTCTCACACCACAGACACAGACTTTTCCTACTGACCTTCTAAGTTGTCTTTGGTGTTCATGGGTTGAGAAGTCTGGAAACCACCACAGCTGCCTGTGATTCAGTCCTCTGAGGCCTGCTCCAAGTTTGCTGAGGCCTGCGTGCCCACACTGAACTGTGTTCCTCTCCCAGCCCAGCACGATATACCTTTCTGATCAACCATCCAGGTTGTCTTAGGCTGGAAATTTGTTTTACTCTGTCTTTTTGTGGGTTCTGCTGCTTTAGAACTTGTTTTAAGTCATTTTTTACAGGTATTTGGAGGGGTTTGGGGGAGAGCTCAAGCAAGTCATTGCTTTTACTCTGCCGTCTTGGCTCTGCCCCCAGCTAATATTTTCTTAATGTGAGTTAATAGTTGATGATAATTTCATCCTTGAATAGATTAAGTAACCAATTAGTGAAAATTCTATTCTGGATTTGATTCTTAGGAAGAAGGAGAAATTGTTTTCAGGGCTAGAAATGATGGATACCTTGAGAGTTGAGGACCACTCCATCTTAGAATTTGTAATAGGGAAAGGAATAAGCATAATATATAGTGCCTACTATGTGCGAGGCACTGTGTAAGTGCTTTTGCAAATATCTCATTTGATCATCACAACAACACTGCGACGTAGGTATTATTATTATCCCCATTTTATAGTTGAGGAAACTGAGGCAATCAGTGGTTAGGTGACTTGCCCAGAGTTACAGAGCTGCTAAATGTCTGAGGCAGGATTTGAACTCAGACTAAGAGAACAAAGCCTGCCTGCCACCATCTGAAATAGTCTGAACTAAAATTGTTCAGGACAAATCAGCCCATGAGGGATAGGAAGCTCTCAAGAATGAAATTCTGAAGACACAAAGAGAAACAGTTCTGATGAGGAAATGAGGTGTGTGTGTGTCTGAGGTGACCAGTGTGGATGCAAAGGGGGTCAGTCAGCCCATTTAGATTTTAAAGGTGTGGACAGGATATGGAAGCTAGAGTAGGTAACAGAATGAAAGAAAATATAATACCGTACTATAAAAATAGAGGCAAAGCTTAAAATGAACTTAGTTTAGAAAGGAAAGCTAAGGAAAACCAAAAAAAAGTGGATTTTGTTTTAAAGATCTATTGGGGACAAAAGGAAGATTGAAATAGGGCTAAGAACGTTGCCTAGAGTTGGAAGGATGATGGTTAACTGGGGACAGAGAAAAGGAAGAGCCAACTTTCAGACTGAAAGGACAGAACAAAAGTGACCAATAGGGAGTTTTAAGTAAGGAGTTCATCAGAGAGCACCTAGCTTCCTTTGATGAGTTCAGATCCCCTGGTCCAAATGAACTACATCTGCTGATTCTGAAAGAACTGACCGATGCCATTGCTGAGCCAGAGATTGTGAAGTGGTGATATAAGGATTGGAGAAGGATGATAGAGTCATAGCTAACATGGCTTTATGAAGAACAGGTCATGCCAGACTAACTTTATTTTCTTTTTTGACAGGGTTACTAAACTAGTAGATAAAAGGGATGCTGTAGATAAAGTTTCCCTAGACTTCAGAAAAGTTTCTGATGAAATATCTCATGCTGTTCTTGTAGAAAAGATGGTAGGATGTAGGCTAGGCAATAGTACAGTCTGATTTAACTGCAGTAAATATGAAGGCTTAAACGGGTTAAAAATATTGGCTTCTCCAGTATAAGATAGGGAAGGTATAGCTAGCCAGCAGTTTGACTGAAAAAAAATATTCATGTATTGATATGGTCACCAAAAAAGCTGATGAGACCTGGGGCCTCTAAGAGAAGCATGGTTTGTTTCAAGGAATAGGGAGGTAATAGTTCTAAAATTCTCCACCCAGGTCATGTTGTAGTATGGTTCAGTTCTGGAGTATTATACCTAGTTGTTCAATCATTTCAACCTTTTGTGACTCTTCATGACCCCATTTGGGATGTTCTTGGCAAAGGTACTGGAGTGGTTTTCCATTTCCTTCTCCAGCTCATTTTGCAGATGAGGAAACTTAAGGCAAACAGGCTAAGTGACTTACCCAGGGTCATATTGCTAGTATCTGAGGTCAGATTTGAACTCAGGTCCTCCTGACTCCAGGCCCAATGTTCTATCCACTATGCCCACTAGCTACCCAGTGGTACCTAGTTTGGAGCACCACATATTAAGGATGTTGATAAACTGGAGACCATTGAGTAGACAACCAGCAGAATGTGAAGTCTTTAACTTCGTATATTAGGAGAGTTGCCGGAAAGAACTAGAAATGTTTGGGAAGCCTTGGGAGGTCATGATCATGGTATTCAAGAAGATAAACCACTGACACGTGGAAGAGGGTTAGACTTGTTCTATTTGTTCCCTATGGAAGAACCCTGAGCGATGTATGGAAACTATGAAGAGGCAAACTTAGATTTTCTATAAAGAAAAACTTTCTAACAATCAGAATTGTCCAAAAGCAAAATGGGTTGTCCCAGAGGCACAGTTTCCCTTTTCAAGGCCTTCAGTGAAGCAAAAACTGGATAATCACTTGTTGGCTATATCGTAGGTTCCTTCTCAGGTGTGAGTTGATCTAGAAAAGCTATTTATTGATGTCTGTCATCTGCGAAGTTCTGTTATTCTCTTATTTCCTTGCACACTTCTGGTGTGCACATTCTTTCCACTGATTTAGTTTGACACCCAATCTCTATAGTTATAAAGAATTTCTTGGGGAATTGACTGTGGTCAAGTGATTTGCCTGGGGTCATACTGTGACTGTGTCAGAGGCATATCTTGAACCTAAGTTTTCCTGATTCCAAGGCTGGCCCTATATCAATTACACCATACTGACTGTCATATGTTTTTCTGAAACTTTGTCAAAAGATATAAATTAATTTTGATTTCTTTTTAATAGACTGAAGACCAGCCCATTTTCAACAATGTTTAACTCAGATGATTGCCCTTTTTCATTGAATAGTTTGTTTTTTGTAAGACCAGATCAAACTGACAAGTAAGTATGCCACATAGAAGCAGAATGTTGTTTTAGAATATTGCTGGCTAAGGACTTTTGTTTTATGGTTCTCTTGATAAATAATCAGATATTTGGTAAATGTGCAAATTATAAATGGATATTTGATAGATGCTTAGCATCTTAAACTGATTCAGACTAAAAACTGAGTGAGATCTTATTTAGATTGGTCACATATCTAGATTCTAGCTTTTCCTATCCTTTTTGGGTCAGGCAAATGCCTGAAAGAGGTCACCTCCAGGAGTACTAATAAGGCCTGGATTCAGTAGAGATGATACAAGCAAGTGACAGGCATGATGATGGGTAAGACTGATGTAGGAGCACAGGAATAGGAACTGAGATAGAGGAATAAAGATTAGAGTGTAGGTAGCCTAAAACATTCTGCTTTATCTGTATTTTCATGGACATGGATTTACCTGGTGACAAGCAACCTTGTCTACATTTTTTTTATTATTATCAGTTTTAATGAAGGCACTGAACATGCTGCTTTATTCAGTCATCCATTCATTCAAATCTATGGTTACTTGTTGGAATGGCATTGAGGGGCAAAAAAAATTTGCGAATATAACTTCCCTCAAGGAGCTTACCATCTAGTTGGAGAGACAAGGCATTTACATATAAAAAGATAATACAATGTATATTATTATAACTGTCAAAGGAATACTATAGGTAATAAATGATGTAGGAGTTCAGAGGAAGAAATCCTTATACTGGTGTGAATAGGGAAAGGTGTAGGGAATTTGTTTGGTCTTACAGGATGGAAGGATTAAGATAAATAGAGTGGAAGAAATTTAGCCTTTCTAATTAGAGGAAGAACTTAAGCCAAGGTGAGGCTTTCTCAGCTAGGGTGGTCTACTTGGTACTTCAAGGTTAGTGTAGTGGTAGATGTAAGTGATAAGATTGGAAAGGTGCTTTGGGCGTATAATGTAGATGGTCATGATGCCGCATATAATGTAGATGGTCATGATGCCGCATATAATGTAGATGGTCATGATGCCGAGTAAAGAAGATTCAGTTTCTTACTTTATACTATAAAGGACCAAGAGAGGAGGGCTTTTAAGCAGGAGAGTAACATAATGAAAAGGATGTACTGGAAATGTGTCTGATGGCAGGGTGTAAGATGTATTAGACTGAAAAGAGACTGGAGGCAGGCAGATCAGTTAGGAAACTCTTCCAATAGTCCAGGTGTGAAATAATAAAAGCCTGACTTGAGGTGGTAACTTGGGGATGGAGAGGAAAGGGGAAACATTCCAGTATTACAAGGGAAGAACCCACTGACTGTGGATTCCAGCTGAATGTGCTGGGCGAAGATTTGGAGCCACTGACTAAGAGAAAGACATAAGCCAGGGAGCCAGGGGCTATAGTTGACATGGGGGTGGATTTGAGGAAGAAAAATAGCAGGTACAGTCATGTGCTATGTGCATGGCACTGTTCTAAATGATGGAGAGGATGTGTAAATTATAAGACACAATTCCTGGCTTTAAGTCTTAGTGGAAAACTCTAGAATCTTAGAATTGGAAGGGACATTAAAGGTTATCTAATCCAGTCTGTACCATTGGGGGGGTTTTGGGGTGCTCTTAGATGCACAGAGGCACCCCAAGATGGTGGGAAAAAGCCCAAATCACAGCGAGGATCTGCCTGAATGAATTCAACTCAGACCTTCTTCCAGCCAGAGAAAAAGTTTATTAAAGATAAGCATCTAGGCCAGACTCCAAAGGAACCCAAACATCAGTGATCTAAATAGGGTTCAAGGTGGTCAGGTGACGCTCACAAGAAAGAGCAGCATGAGGCAGTCTAGAAAACTCAGAGTCTGAGTGGGGGCTGGGGCTAGGGTGGTCAGGCCAGGTGACACCCTTAGGATGGGCGGGCATGAGGGGTCTCAGCTTCTAAACTTGAGAACAGCTCAGCATCAGAATGGGGGAAAGGTGAGCCTTTGGTACAGACTGATTGGGGAGGGGCCAAGCAGCTTGGGGTGAGGGGAAGAGGGGTCTAGGGAGATCTGGATGGGGGTGGCCAGCAAGCTGGGGCAAAGGAACACTGGGGCCTAGCTAGGATTAAGGGTGGGAATGGCCAGGAAGGCAAAACAATGGGAAAGTCAGTTGATGGGGGAGGTGGATCCTTTGGAAAAGGGTCCAGGTGAGAATTTCTGTTTGGAATGTCTGAGAGATCGGAACAGACAATGAGAATAGATAATGAAGGAGCTGGAAGAGGGAGTTTGCTTTCAAAGGGAAATAAGGCAGTTTGTAAAACTTTAAGGGCTTCCTGGGACTGGTAAACAAAACTGAAGCCAGGTTCTTTTTGTCATAGAGAGATAAGTGAGTCTACAAGGAATCTAAAAGTTTTAAGGTTTTTCTGGGAAGTGTAGGTAAACCTCTTCACCATCACTGACAAGTTATCATTCAGCTTCCAATTGAAGACCTTCAGAGAAGGAGAACTTAGAATCTTTTGAAGCAGCACGTTCACCTTGGGACTGCTCTAATTGTTTAAAAAATTATACTAAAATTAATCAGAAATCTGCTTCTTTGAAACTTCATCCTGTTGTTCCTCCTAATTTCTGTGCCTAAACAGAATAAATCTAAATCTGTCTTCCATGTGATACCCCTTTAAATACTTGAAGATAACTACCAGGTCCCTCCCTAAGTCATCTCTCTTGATTTACTATTTATATGCTCTGTAACTCAAGAGGTATCAAACTTGAGGCCTGAGGACTGTAGGCCAAAACTCCTGAGTGTGGCCCAAACTAGATTAAAATGTTTAACAAAATAAATCAATACACAGTACACCAATATTGTTAATTTGTACTTTACTAACTCAATATGAGTCCTCCATTTCTGTTTGAGTGTGACACTGATGAGGTCTAGATTCTTGGGACCCTAACATGGCATGACGGGCCCTGTCCGAATGAATTCCACCCAAATCTTCTTTCAGCCAGAGACAAAGTTTATTAGGGAAGAGCCATACAGGCCAGACTCTTAAGGAATCTGAACATTAGTGACACCCGTAAGGATGAGCGGGCATGAGGAAATCTCAGTGTTTAAATGGGGGCAGGGGGCAGCTAGGTGGTGCAGTGGATGGAGCACTGGCCCTGGAGTCAGGAGGACCTGAGTTCAAATCTGGCCTCAGACACTTGACATTCACTAGCTGTGTGACTCTGGGCAAGTCATTTAACCCCATTGCCTAGCCAAAATAAATAAATAAATAAATGATTGGGGGCCAGGGTGGATCTTATATACGCTCAAGTAATTTTGGGTGACCAGAGGAGGGGCTGGGAAGAGGATCTGGGTGACTAGGGGAGAAGTTTAGGGAGAATAGGAGTGTCTGGATGACATCACCCCAGAATAGACAATGAAGGGCTAGGCTTTTATTAGGGTAACAAAGAATTGGAAGGAAGAGGTTGATAAGATCAAAGGTGGGACCAAAGACTAGGCTTCTTCCTTAGGATTTCAAAGGGAGATAGGGAGAGAATAAGAGATAAGGGAAGGCCAGTTGAGTGGAGTATAGCCTCAAGCAATCGTTGGAGACCAGAGTGAGGTCAAAGAAAGTTTAAGGGTTTTCTGGGGCCAGTAGACAAATGGGGCTCAAATTCTTTTTGGGGCCAGGGGCAAAGGTCTTGTCTTGGGCCCATACCCCATCAACTCCACTGCTCTAATGGATCCTTGTTCAACATGGCCTCAAGGCTCTCCCCTTCTTCTCCCTCCTCTATATGTATTAGAGAAATCTCTCTTATTATTATTATATGTATTAGAGAAATCTCTCAGCTTTGTGTGATTGAAGTCTTTTATAAACAGGAAGCCTCTTAATTCTACTGCCCTCCCTCTTTTAATCATTTCCTATTTATCCTGTATATAGCTTGTTTGTACATATTTATTTGCTTGTTGTCTCCCCCATCAAATTGTGAGCTCTTTGAAGTCAGGGACTGTCCTTTGCCTCTTTTTGGATTCCCAGCACTTAGCACAGTGCCTAGCACATAGTAGGTACTTAATATTTATTGACTCGCTGACATACAGTCTGTGTCTTCATTGAAGTCATTAATGATGGTGTTGAAGAGAACAGAACCAAGTATGGAGCTCTATCTTGGGTTCTTTTAGTTCATCCTTATCCACTGACTCAAACTCATTGAAGGCATAGCTAGTTGTCTTCTTCTTATTGGCTTACTTCCTCCCCCTCTCTCCCCATATTTCAGGTTCAAGGTCTTCTCAACAAATTAATTAGATTTTTCTGTCATCTGTTACCAGAGTCTCCAACACTCTAAGCAGATTCTACCATTTCTCCCCCCTTCCCACCCTGCCGCTTTCCTCTTGGTCCAAATATAGCTTTAAAAGCCCACTTTGTGATCTTTAATATTTATCATAAGTACTAGCTCATTCAGGACTTTAGAATTCTTGAAGTTCTTAAAGGATTGTGGCCTTATTTTGTATTCATTCTCTGTTAACTGCCCTTAATTCCTTCTTATATAATTGTCTTTAAAAAATTTAAATTTTTCATTGAGTTTCTTGTACAATTATAGTAGTCTGTACAGTTTTCCCCCTTTTCCTCTTTGTAATCATTTATTTTTATATCTTCAGACTTTTGTTCTTAAGACAATGTCATTCTTCCTGGGCTGATTTCCCCTGTAGGATTTAGGGCAGTAGGAACCTCCCTATGCTTTCTCTGCATTTTCTGGAATCTGTTCTTCCCAAATTTAGAATGCATGCTGCACTGTCACTCAATTTTCCCTTTGTTACCCATTAGAAACTCTTAAAATGTATAGTTTGTTCTTCCCAATTTTCAATCATTTCTTTTTTTTTTTTTTGGGTAAGGCGATCAGGGTTAAGTGACTTGCCCAGGGTCACACAGCTAGTAAGTGTTAAGTGTCTGAGGCTGGATTTGAACTCAGGTCCTACTGACTCCAAGGCCAGAGCTTTATTCACTGCGCCACCTAGCTGTCCCTCAATCATTTCTTAAACAAGCAGGATGGTATGATGAATTATATACATATACTGGCTTTGGAGTCCAGATCCTAGGTTCAGATCTCATCTGAGACATTCACTCATGGGATTGTGGGAAAATTACTTAAATTTTTAGATTCTCACTTTCCTTATCTATAAAATGGAATAATACCCACACTATGTATCTCACAGAGTTGTTTTGAGGAAAGAACTTTGTAAACCTTAAATCATTTCATAAATGTGAGCTGTTTCTATTTCTATTTGTATTCAGTTGAGCATTTTCACTTGTGTACTATGTGCAAGGCACTGTGCTTGATTATGGAGATTCAAAGACAAAACATGAAATAGTCACTGTGCTCAAGGAGCTCTCATTTTAATGTGGGAAACAATTGTACACATGGATTAGATGCCAAATACATTTTTTGGACCGAACCTGTGGTCCCAGTGAGGAAACTTCTCTGTCAATGCAGGTTGGCACCTTCTCTAAACTTGAAATTGAACAATGAAATTTGACATTTGAAATTTCCTCAACAATGAGAATCTGAATGATTTGCCTGAGGTCATGTGATCAGTCTGTAGAAGAGAGACTTGGACCAATGTTTTCCTGTTATCAGAGGCCAGCTCAGTTCTCTGCCCACTCGGTGTGCTGCCCTCATAGCATAAGGATAAGATGTATGCAAAGTAAATACAAGGTAATTTGGGGAAAAAGGCACTAGCCAGTTGGGAGGTTGGGATCAGGAAAAGAGGCTAGGAATGCTTTTTTTTTTTTAATTCATTAATTTATTTATTTTTAGTTTTCAACATTCACTTCCACAAGATTTTTGACTTCCAAATTTTCTCGCCATCTCGTCCCTCCCCCAGCCCCAAGACAGCATGTATTCTGAATACCCCTTCCCCTAATCTGCCCTCCCTTCTATCTCCACCCCCTTCTCTCATCCCCTTCCTTTTCTATTTTCCTGTAGGGCAGGATAGATTTCTGTACCCCATTGAGGCTAGGAATTCTTGCTGGCAAAGATGAGAAAGTAAAGTATATAAAAAAGACATGTAGCCCATGTAAGCTCTGTTAATTCTTATCCCAACTCCCATTCTCATAGACTATGGGAGACCCCAGTGTTTGGCTACATCTCCCCTTTAGGGTTGTAAGGATACCCCTGAGAAGTCAGGAGTGATTCTCTAATGCCATCAGCTTGAGTTGTGTGCTTATGCCCAAGATTATCAGTTGAGACATTTGTCAACCAGCTTTAATTAGCTTTTGGGAAAGTGATTTCTAAGGGGGTACAGTAAGAACAGCTGGTACCACCTTTAAAGTCTGTGGTCCATTCTCCCACAGTTGCTGGGCTTAGATTTAGAGAGCACATGAGGCAGAAGAATTACTTGAAGCTCCAGGTTGCTGGGAACCCCTTTCTCCCATTCATGGGGTACTCAGAGTTCTCCTTTCTTATGGTGAATCTGCATCCATTTGTCCTTGCTGTCCATGTGAACCTTGCCATCAGCTGTTGCTGGCCCAGGGGTATTGTGCTGGGATAAGTTCATGGGGTTGAGTTGAGTAAATCGGTCACTTCTCTCTTGCACGTGGATATGGGAGATGGAATGTCATATGTGAGACAGAACAGGTAGGCCAGTTGATCTGAAAAGTGGAAGGCACGAAGAGGTTTAATATGGAATAAGTCTGGAAAAGTAGACTGGAGCCAGATTGTGAAGGACTTTAAATGGCTAAGAGAGAATTTTGTATTTGATCCTGAAGGCACCTGGGAGCACAAGTATGACATATCCAGGCATGCACCTTGGCAGGTATTGGAGTCTAAATCGGAGAGGGAAGAGACTAGGCATTGGCCATTTAGGATGCTGTTGCAGTAGTCCATTTGAGATGTGATAGGGGCTTGAGCTGGGGTCGTGGCTATGTGAGTGGAGAGAAGATGCCGTATATATAGGAGATGATGGGGAAGTAGAAAGGAGGAGAATTAGCAGCTGTTTGGATTTGGGGCCAGGCTTAGGGAGGTTGAAGAGCTGAAGATGGCCCCTGAAGAGGAACCTAGGTGACTGGAAGGATGATGGTGCCGAAATAAGGCATGTGTGAGTGAGTGTGTGTGTGTGTGTGTGTGTGTGTGTGTGTGTGTGTGTGTGTGTG